AATGATTTGTCAACGCATTGCGAGGGGAAGTTGTTGTAGGACTACTACTGCCAGCATGACGCAGGGGGCTGCGGCGGCTGCCGCTACTGCTGCTGCTGCTGCTGCTGCTGCTACTGCTACTGCTACTGATACTGCTACTGCTACTGCTACTGCTACTCTTACTGCTACTGCTACTGCTACTGCTACTGCTACTAACTACTACTGCTACTACTACCACTACCGCAAATGCTACCACGGCTACTGCTACTGCTACTGCCACTTCGAGATTCGACTCTTGCTAGTATTATTACTGCTGGTGCTGCTGCTGCTGCTGCTGCTGCTACTACTACTACTACTACTACTAGTCCTATTTCTACTAGAACTACAACTACTAGCACCACCACGGCTACGATCATACGTACGACTACGACGACGAAGCGATTATTACGATTGTGACAACTAGGGGTAACATTGTAACACCGCAGACGGAGGCTACGACCTCCTACGACAAGCTGCCGGGGACTGCAACCAAGCCCTAGCACTTCGAAAATCTTTGTAGGCAAACTTGGAACTCCGAAATCCCGTAATTCTGCATGCACGTATAGGTATAAATACATTTTATACACTATCTATCTATATATATATATATATTTATTTATTTATATATTTATATTCATACTCATAATCATATTTATAGATTGTTTAACAGACGAACACAGAGAGAGAGAGAGAGAAAGAGAGATAGAGAGAGCGCACCATGCAACTGCCTTTGAAAGCAGACTGTGATATACATTTGCGGTGCACATACCCATAGACGGATGACATCTATTGTGGGTGTCTCAGATAAAACAAGGGATCCAGTCTTTCAAACGGTAACACCTTCAGCAGAAGGGGCCCTGAACTACGCTGCCCGTAGGTTCTTGGAAGCCTTGCATCCCCACAAAGAACGAGATTCGTTGAAGTTCGGTCCTTCTTGGTTCCGCCCGGAAGCTGCGCGGTGCATGGCAGTGCCACCATAGCTGTCCTGTCGTTGCGGGCTTTGGGGCTCAGGTCTGTGGGAAGCATAATGGAGGTCCTACCGGCTCCATATACATATACAGACGTGTGCGCATGTGTGTGTGTGTGCGCCTAGACTTACAACACATGTTCTGAAATTGTCCAGGCTAGACGGTCCTTGTGAAAAATGCTGGCGAAAGAAGATAGCAGCAGCAGCAGCAGCAGGAGCAGAAGAAGGAGAAGACGAAGAAGTAGTAGTGGTGGTAGTAGTGGTGATGGTAGTAGTGGTGGTAGTAGTAGTAGTAGTAGTCGTAGTAGTTGTTGTTGTTGTTGTAGTACTCGTATAGTAGTCGTAGTAGTGCTACTGGTCACTAAGAGTTAAGACACCTGATGACTCATGTCAATTTTCTTTGGCAGGTGAGGTCTTCGCTTCTCATCAGTAGGTAACTGTACTCCATGCACATGACCGAGATAATCTGGTCGCAACAGTCTTTATAATCACAATGCTAGATTCAAAGTGACCTCGACCAGTTCTATGCTCCTAAACAGTGACAGAAAGCCTCATAAAGCCCCATGGTTTTCAGCCCTTTAAGGTCTGATAGCAGCCTCGGCTGGGCCTCTGGAGTCATATGGGCCCGTGCACATCAAAAAGGGACCCTTTATGGAGAAGAACATGCAGCTTCTCTCTTGCAAGGCCCAGTCCCTGGTCTCAGGATCGGCACGGTAGGACAGTAGAACCTGCCGGTGGAAGGAACTGGGTTGCGCTCCAATTCCCCAGCGCCAGCAACTGAATTGGATTGCAATCCGATAAGCCGAAGGAATGTGACGGAAGTCCAGGCTGGAAGAGGGATCTGAATGTCATGGCAGTTGACCGTCGGCTTCATGCTCGGATCCAGCAACTGTAGGCTATTGACGGCTATTGTCTAGGAATCAAGTGCAGGTGTGGGAGAGGATGAAACTCAGGATCAACAAATTATACACGAAACAGCAGGATGTCAGGGCTTCCTAGCTTCTGATCACGTTTTCAACTGGGAGTTTCAGAAAAAAGCGGCGAACTTGTAATTTAGATTCTGAAAACATGATGGGGCGCTTATGGCACGGAGCCCTAGATAAGGTACCCGAGCTCTCTGTCCATCCACCGCCCTATCTCGGACACACGCTCCCTTCCAACCGAATGCAGGGTACCTGTGCCCGATTTCGGGTTTTAGATTTGGGACTTCGCGTGGTGAGAGAGCCACCGCAGATGTGGCACACTTTCATGAGAAGTCATTGTTGACCAGATCGCAGTACTGTCAGGTGGGAACAACCCGGCTTCACGACCGGTCCTTCGGAGTTTTAGGCTTGAGGGTGTAGCCGATATGTAAACATCTTGAAAGCCCTTGCTCTCGAGCACATGGTCTTCATAACTTGGACGCCCGGCAGGCCTTTGCTGCCTCGTTGTGCTTCAAGAAGATGCAAATGGAGAGTGCTGTGGCATTGTTGCCAAAGTTCATAAATTGGGGTCCTCCCAAACACAGCGCACGTCGCAGACTGCTGGCCACGCCTGAAACCCTCCGCAACCCTTGCCAACTGCATTCAGTGTGATGGAAGGTAGCACTACAACACGGGCGACAACATCGGGCCGTGGGTCTTCTGAAGCGCCACGGCCGGAGCGGCCAAGACAATTCGAACCGATGTCCTTTGATTCTGATCGCGTCGTTCGCATCCGCCCTGGCCTCCAAAAGCGCGGACACTTGTAAGGGGCTGCCACCTAAAGCAGCATAGCACAATGGTGTCCATCCGGAAGCATCCCGCTCGTCGATTCGTCGGAATCCTAAGGTACCAGGTACTGTACGTGTGCACCGGTGGCCATGTGCAGCACAACAAAAGGCTGTATGGAAGGCGAAAGGAAAACTTGAGTCCCAAACAATCAAATCATACGAGTGGCCGTTCTGGTACATGAACTCTTCCGTCAAGTAGTGGGCTGGATCCAAAATATCTGACTCCATACCCGGAATGAGATCCAACACGGATTCGACTTGGAGGTTGCGGAGAACAACTGTCTGCAAGTTCCACAGGGCGCGGTAGTAGTGAAGCTTGCCCGTCCGAAGATATGCGAGCAACTTCTCCTTGACCAATCCTTTGGCTCACAACTGCAGCCACTTGGGTCATTGAGGGTGCAGGGCGTGTGCTTAGGGTTCGAGGGTCACGTGCTTGGAATTACTATTATCAAATTTGGCTGGAAGTCCCGCACCCTCGAACTACAACAGCTGACCGGTTCAGAACTTGACGATCGAGGCAACATAAACTGACTGAGTTGGTGGGAGAAAGACATGCGTTGAGGGTTCGCTGTCGTTTCAATTTAGGACTGTATACCCAAGGGTCCATGCAGCACAGGGCGGACGTGCTTCACGTCTTCCTCCACAGTGAACAAACCCTCTCCCACGGGCTCCAGAACCCAGTCGAACATCGACCTGAGTCAGGCGAAGCTCAGCATTGTGGCTTTGGGGTCTATGTCACGGTTAAAGTGGACAACGCCTGAAACGCCCAAAATCCTCACACCGAAAGCTTCGCTGTACAGTGGGCAAGTTCCCAAGTGAAGTGAATTGTCAAAGGCCGAGAGAGTAGACCAAGGGGTTCAGAGTGGCCGTGGATTTGGGCATTTTCGGTGGTTTAGGGCGGGGTAAAGCTCAAACAGGGTCGGGACTACTTTGTGACTGTGTTAGAACTGCCAACATTCTCCAACCAGTGTCCTTAAACCCTAAATAAAGCATCACATTTTGCAATCCTACAGCAACAAAAGCCTAAAAGCCTACGATTTTACAATCCTGCAGCAACAAAAACCTAAAACCCTAAGGAACCCAAGAGTTTCAACCCCGAAGACCCTCCGCACCCAACCAACAAAACCACCTCTAGCAGCTTAGACGCGCCAAGGTAAGTCGACTGGAGCTCGTCACCTGGGAACTTCTTTTGCAGTGTGCCAGAGTTGATTTTACAGGTCTTAAGGAGTTTGGCCATGAGCGCAGGACCTGCTTCATGGTTGGGATCATTTGTTGGCTGAACAGCAAAACGCTATTGTAAGTAGAAGGAGCCAAAATTTGGAACCCCTAAGTTCAATTTCTGAAGCTTCCCCTTTATAACCTGACTATGCCCCCCGCCCCCTGCCCGCCTCGATCGCCTGGCTGGACCGAGCGCTGAGGTGCCTCGTAGAGGCAACAAAAAAATGTGGGAGACTTCGGAATTAAGGGCTTTGGATTTTCCGGGCTTGGAAGTTATATTGGTCTTGAGGGCTGCTTTAGGTCCCGGCGGTGAAGGCTACGCAGGTTAGTGGGTTCGTGACCGCTTGAATTGTGGTGCTCCACGTCATTGAATCGAGGATCTGCCAAAGGTTGCTGCTAAGGTGTTGGGAAGTCTTTGATGACACAAGTAATCACAAGTACATCTTGCGGCCACGAGGTGGAGATGGGAAGAACTGACAGATGCCCATTCGTGGAATGCCTCATGCACACATACACTCATACACACCATGCACATACACGAAGGCACCCACACACACACACAACCGCACACACTGTTACTGTGACTGTTACCAGTATGAAGATTACTATCATCAGCAAGGATGGCTGTTTTGTTTTAATTAAACTCTACATATTTAAGTATGCACGTAGGCGTGTATGTGTGCAGGCAGGCAGGGAGGCAGGAGTAGGTGGGTCTGTTAGGTAGGCAGGTGGTAGGCAGGTTAGGTAGGTATATGTGCTGCTTCAGGAAAATGCATGATTTTCCGGATCGCTGACAAGCTCATTTCGAAAATAAAATCTAAACCCAAAACCCTCCACCCTAAACCACCGGTCTCGATTCAGAAAGGATGTGTCTTGCAGCTCAATGGCCTGACAACAAGCTCAAGGCGGCACCATCCACGCCTCGCATGCTCTTCTTGGACTTTGTGCGTATATTCGGCTTTCGGCCCTTGATAACGACCTGTTCGACCCTGTTCTGAAAGAGATGCTTAGGACGAACGCTTGAAAATAGTTCTGGCAATGTCCGAGGCACGTAGCCCATGTTGTTTTGCTCAGCAGGCTTTGGTGCTCAGCGTGTCGGACAGGGGGACAAAGAATTACGAAGTGCTGGCATCGCTCCACATAAGAGGGAATGCTGCGTATTGCCATCCTCCGGTCTTCAGCTGATGCTGAATTCTGCGGACAGCAGAAGTAGTCCTCGGACATCTGCCACACAAACTCCCGTCCTATCGTGCCTGCCCCGAAGAACTCAAACAACCTGTGACGAGTGCAACCCAACGCTCAAGCCCGCATCACATGGGATCTGAGGGCTGGCCTAGGGCCTGGGGAGTTCGTAGCACTCCTTCGGGATACACTACTGCTATTACTGTTCTTAGTCTCGTCTGTGCCAAAAGCATGTTAGGAGCAGAAAGGCGTCGTACCAAACGAAAAGCCGGCGCTCGGTCAGCCGGGACGAACTCACGGCCTGAGCTGCTGTTCAGGGCGTAGACATGCTTGTCTACTGCAGATGAGTACCGGAACGGGGTCCCAGTGGGTTGAAACATTACTCCACAGGGCTATTCAAAATAAAACCTTCCAAGCAAAAGCTGTGACATGGGTAGTTCTCTAAATTGGGGTCCCGTTTTTTGGGTCCCCAGTGTAGAGCGGCACCCTTGTAAAAAGGACCCTAATTTGGAGAACTACCCATATGGCTTGTTTCAGGATGATCGTCCGGGTAGAGTCTCTCGGAGCTGGAAGCAGCTGGGCTTGGAGGTCCTCTATACAGGCATCCTTGCAACTGCTGGGCGAATGTAATATAGGGGCCTTAAGAATTAGAAATGCTCATTACACTATAGTGATAGTAAGGACCCCCCCTCAAAAAAAAAAAATAGTATAGGTAGTTATTAAGGATGTGAGCTGGGCCATGCGACCCATGTGCACGCATCGAGGTCTCGGGTCTCGACATGTTTCATCACAGTATCACATGCCTAGAGAGCTACGATTCCGAGACGAACGTGAGTGCAAGCTTCCCAGTGCGCTGCTGGTCTCAACTTTTGACTTTGCTAACATTTAACTGGGCTCTAGTTTCCGAAGCTTCGAACCACAGACGCCAAACTTCCGACTCTAAAACCCGAAACCCTAATTAAACCCTAAACCCTAATTCAATCCCAAACCCTAAAACCTAAGTGACCCACACCACCTTAAGTCGCTGTAAGCTGCCGTTGCCAGCCCGCAGAGCTCAATGACGATGTTGGGCGAGATTCGGGCCGATGAGCCTCATGCAGCTCCATCTTCGGCTTAGGGATTTTTTCCCTCCTACATAGCATTGACGAGCCCGCATCGCAGGGTACGTTCGGATATGTCTGACTTGCACAAAAAGACCGACCTGCAACTAGGCCTATGTTAAAGGCTACAGTAGCCTCGGCTTAGGGTTTAGGGTGTAGGGTTAAATTTCATCCCTCCTACGTAACAAGGACGAGCCCGCATTAGGGTTAAATCAAGGCTTAGGGTTAAGCTCGACGGCTCATGTGGGGTCGAAAGTACCGTTTGCTTCAAGTCAAAAGCACCGTGAAAACAAAAACACAAACAGCAACCTCTGATACAGCAAAGTGCCCTACCCTCTTGTGGTCGAGCTTGCGACCCCCTTAACCTATAAAGATACAGACCTTACTATTGCAGCCTCTATAAGGGATGGCTAGGGTTTAAGGCTGTGTTGAATCACGTAGATCTTCGAAGCTAACACTTACAGCCGATGCGCACAGAAGCTGGCAGAGTTGAAACACAAATGGCAAACGCCAAAATCCTAAACCAACCTTCGCGAACCGCCATACTAACCATACCGCAGTGGAGGCTCAACATCAGTAGACACCATGAAGCCCTGAATTTGTCAACCTCGAAACCCGACATCCCCGGGCGCAGACCTTATGCCGTGCAAATGCCGCAGAACCCGAAACGTTGAAGCGCAGGGCTCAGGGCGCTGGATCCCTGAACCCTACTTGGAGGTTCAGGGGTAGTTATAAATGGGGTTAAAATTAGGGTAACTATACTCATAAGCCATATTAGGGGACTTATAACCTCACTTACAACTACCCATGAACCTCCATGTAAACACCCCCAAGGAGACCCCCTCCCAAACAAAAAAAAAAAACGAAAAGCTTCAAAAGCCCTAAAACCATGTTTCATACATCCGCTATGCACATGCCAGGAACCGAGGCGCCGACTGTGCTGTGGATTTCCTAAAACCCTAAACCCTTATACCCTACAGAACTCTAGCAAAACTGAACACTTCTCAGCCGTGCAAAGCCTGAAACCTTCAAGAAAGAAGTGGCCAACCCCAACCTCCAAGTCCAATGCCCTCAAAATCGCAAAGCCTTCGGAACCCTAGGCTTTGAGGGTTTACGGAACCAAAGAGCTCAAGGGAGTACTGCATTTAGGGCATTTAGGTCAGGGTGTTTTTTTGTTTTTTTGTGGCCCCTTTTTGATCGTGCCCCGTGTCACTGGTTTCTAGAGTTTTTGTTTGCTGTGGTTCCCGGGTGTGCAAAGTGTTTCTTTTTTTGTTGCGCCCAGTTGGGCGCCGAGACCTGTCGGCGGGGC